GTAGGGAACGCATGCGGGACTCATCCCTGAAACCCTGGATCACACCTGTGGCCGAGGCAGACGTTCAACCATTGAGCTACCCAGGTGTCCCAAAAGGGATTCTTTTCTTTAAAAAAAGACGATGGATTAAAAAGAAACAAACCTTACGAAGTACTAATACCAGAACTTGGTGACTGGTGAGATGTAGGAAATTGAAGGAGAAGAAGTTTAGGTTCACATCTGGGTTTTCAGCCAGGAAACAGGATTGACCCATATTTATGCACTCCATTGTCTCTTACCTGTACTATTCACTTTGGTAATTCATGATATATACACTATTATCTGGTATTAATTAGTTTAAGAGTACTCATTCTTTTAAAGTTTATTTCCTTTATGTACCCCATGTAATCTGGCACAGTGCTGGATAATAGAGTTTAGCATTCAGCACAATGTCCAGTTTATTTAAATTGAACTTCTAATAAAACAGTAAAATAGAAAACCATGCTAATGGGAAAATACAAAATTTCCCAATTATATATACACATGTAAATCTTCCCTACTTTCTCTGTTTGATATAATTCTTTGGCTTATATATATCTAATCTCTCTATGTTTGTATCACTGATCTGGTTCCCCTCCATTCCTTGAGTGCAGACTGTATTTCTCTCTTGTAACCAGTCCAGGGCTTAGCTTAGTGGTTTGTAGTAATGGCAAACCTTTTGAAGCATTTTATAAGCATGTGTCAAACACTGTGCTGAGTGCTTTGCATGAATTACCTTGTTTATCCTCACAAAAGCTCTCTATTGTGCAGGACTGTTTTAATCCTCACTGGTGAGAGCAACCTGTAGATGGGGGAAACAAGACTCTGAGGACTTAAATGACTTGCCCAGGGCATATGACTTGTAATTGGCCGAACTGAGGTCACTTGATTTCAGACACAGTGTAAAGTCTTTATCATTACTTGTGCTGCCTTGTATAAGGAGACCAGCACAGAAGGTACTTGTTATATAGTGGGGGGGATTAGATTAGGTTAAGTGAAAGGTGTGTGAAATGAAACTTGCTTCTTGGCAGTGTGTATTGTCAGCGATGTTTTGAATCCTGAAAAAAACTATTTCTGGAGAAGGAATATCCTGAACATTATCCAGAATACTCAGGAGTATGCCACTTGTTCATGAACATTTCTGTCCCTGTCTTTGACCTCTCCTAACATAGAAAGGTGACCAGATAGCTAGAAGTGCCACTGGTGGCATAGAAGGCAAGGAGGGAATGATGGTTGAAGAGCCCAGGAATGAGGACCTATGGAAGATGTGCAAAGTGTAGAAAAAGAGGATGGAGCCAGCTATATTCTAGTCTTGTCCCTTTTAAACACAGAAACTCATTATAATTAGGTCTGGCCATCTAGCTTGTTTTATCTATTTTGAGATCGAGGGACTATCAGGATTATAATACTAGCTTTAAAAAGTAGGTTTTTACAAGTGTTCACTAATTTTAACTCTGTTTTTAGGAAACCAGCCCTTCGAAAGCAGTACTTTCTCTCAAATTCTGAAGCCATTGTCTTTCGATTTCCTTTTTTTTTTTTTTATTTATTCATGAGAGACACAGAGAGAGAGACATAGGCAGAGGGAGAAGCAGGCTCCATGCAGGGAACCTGATGCGGGACTGGATCCTTGGACTCCAGGATCATGCCCTGGGCCCAAGGCAGGCACTAAACCGCTGAGCCACCCAGAGATCCCCATCAATTTCCTTTTTTAATGTGCTTCTTTATTTTCATTTTTGGTAACCATCTCTGATTCCTGCCCTTGTCCCTGTGGTGTGAAAGATGGTTAGTAGCACAGACTCAATCCTTTGGGTAGAAATTGAATTCTAACATTTCAGAGAAAAAGATTGATGAGAAAGAGAGTAAGAATTTCTTGGAATCCCTTAAATTTGTCTTTTTCCAAAATTGATAAGTGTTAGGAAGATTGTTATTTCTCTAGAGTTTATATTTCAAATTCAAAGCCTTTTACACATGTATCTTGAAGGCTTTGTCCCTTGAGTTTCAGAGATCTTTGTTAAAGTTAAGTGAAGGTAGGTTCTTTTCCAAAAATTCAATAGCCATGAAAATTAATGATTTTACTTTCTTCATTTTGAATTACAAGAGTAGATCATACAGTCCGAATTCTTATTTAGATAGAAGCATGAGAGATTCTAGGTTTTTAAAATTTTGGCCTATTGGAACATTTTTCAAAATTAACATATTCTTTCATTTTTTAAAATTACAATGAGAATGAAGAGATGCATTTAATAGGAATGCCAGGGCATTGTCATATCCTAATATTTCCCAGTTTTAGATCCTACGCAATCTGATAAATTCACTGCTTTGAGACACTATTATTTTCTCCATTTTATAAGATTAAAAGAACTAAGGATTGTTTGGCCCAGAAAAGTGATGGATTAGGAGGAACGTGGGAGTTGTCCTCAAACAGTTGAAGCATTGCCGTGTTGAAAAAGGACTTGGCTCCTTTTTTGTCCAGTGGATTGATTTTTTTTTTTTTTTAGTGGATTGAATTTATGTGTGGAACTTATAGGGAGATGAATTTCAGTGCGGTTTAAGGAAAAACCATCCTACTGGTCAGATCTACTTAGGGAGTCAACTGCCTGGGAGTGAGTGCATTGGTCCCTGTTAAAGTTTTAGAATATGGGTTGGATGAAAATCTTCTGGTATGTGTGGTAGATTTGTATGTTGGATGGAGAATCATTTTAGATAGGACACAAGCTGACCCACTCTGGATTATTTCCCAGGAATAAGGGTGAGGGGAAGAAACCAGATAGCCAATTTAGGGTGAGAGAGGAGAGCTGCAGCCAAGCTAACAGAGGAAGAAAGGGGGACATCGAGGGTCCAGTATGTCTCTCCCACTCACAAGAGCCCTAGTTTAAGACATTTAAAAATATGTTGGCTCTTGTTTCATAAGAGGTTATTCTGCAGAAGTTGAGGAATTTTTGGCATGGCTAGCAGAGATGGAATAATTCTGTTTCTATAACAGGGCTCTGTCTGGAGACATTGAATGAAGCTAAATCACAAATGTTCAGCTTATGGGCTTTAGGTGGGAACAATAGCTTCTGTCAATGGATTTAGTTTTCTTTCTAGTAAATTTCAAAATTCTCTCTTAAGGTTGTTAACACTGAACTAAACTGCTGCAGTGAAATTTAGGCTGAAACTATTTTCTTGTTCAGAATGTATAGATTTGCTTTCTCAGCTTCCATTTTCATCTTTAGTAAAATGTTTACATGAACATTTTCAGCCTGGAATTTGGTGTAGGAAGAAAGCTGAAGTTGACATGTCCTTCTTTTCAACCAGGATCCCAGGTTTCTGGGGAAGGAGATGGTGAAGTGGATAAGAGTATGACACTTTTACATCAAACCTGGATTTTATTCTCAGCTCTACCATTCACCACCTTTTATCATCTTAGACAAGTGGTTTAACTTCTCTAGAATCCCATTTCTTCATCTGTAGATAGATAATATTTTTCATGGAGTCAGTGGGAGCATAAATGAGATAATATACATAAAAATGTATTTAGTGCATGGTAAGAGGTTCAATAAATGACAGCTACTTTATTTTTGTGCTGTCAGTAGAGACAGAAAGAGCAAGAGCGGGAGCAGTGGGGGGAAGGGTGGAAGTAGAGGGAGAGGGGGAAGGGGAGGGAGAGAATCTTAAACAGACTCTGTGCAGAGTCCAACAGGATTTAGTCTCATGGCCCTGAGATCATGACCTGAGCTGAAATCAAGAGTCAAGATGCTTAACTTACTAAACCACCCAGGCATCCCAATAGAGATTTACTTTTTTTATTAGGGGTCATTTTGGAATGGACATTGAGTTATGTACTAGTAGTGCAGAATATCTGTGTCCTGGTGTTGTTGTTGTCGTTGTTGTTTTAAGATTTTATTATTTATTCATGAGAGAGACAGAAAGGCAGAGACACAGGCAGAGGAAGAAGCAGGCTCCATGCAGGGAGCCCGACTTGGGACTCAATCCTGGGTCTCCAGGGTCACGCCCTGGACTGAAGGCGGCGCTAAACTGCTGAGCCACCCGGGCTGCCCTTGTTTCCTTTTTGGATGTAATTAATTCTATGATTAATACAACATGTCTGAGTAGAGAGTTTATTCCACAATTCTTCAAAAGGAAAGAAACTAGCAAAGAAAAGAAAGGCTTAAAAGGAGTAGTGCACACTCTGGCATTATTCCCTTCTCCCTTCCTAGAGAGATTCAGGTAGAAGTATCTAGATTTGAGAATCTTGTGCATCAAGATATGCATAAAGTGTTTGAGGTTATTGTGTCAGTGAGAAAAGAGAGGAATTGAAGATAGACTCTTCAGTGGCATAGATCTGTAACTCACAGGACGGGAGGTCAGGAAAGAGATGGAAGACTCAGCGTAGGCTAGAGTACAGGACATTGAACCTGAAGTTGGGAGATCTGGGCTCTAGTCTCACTGTCTCCGTGTGGGGTTTGTGTGCCTCTAGGTGTATCCCTTGTACAGACTAGACTTCATCTCCAAGGCTCCTTGAATACCTGAGTTTCTCCATTCTGAAAATATTTGGAAACAGTAACATGCAAATAGAGGTAGTGGAATGTTCCTGAAACAGGAATTTCAAGAAGAAACAATGTCAGATGTCACAGAAATAAAGGAAGATGAGATCTGGGAAAAAGATAGGATGCCCAGGAGACCAGTTTGTCTAGAGAGGGACCAAGAAGTGTCTGCAGTGTTGGACTTACTATGGAACAGAATGTAATGAATTATTCCAGGTCCTCTCACTGACTTTGTAAATAACATAAATGTTAATAAAACTGCCTGATACATTAACAAAAATGCAATCATGCGCTTTCACCAATGATCTATAAATTAAACAACTCAAAAGATTTCTTCAAGGTTGAAGGGAATTTTGAGGTAGTCTGTTGCTAGGTGAGACAGAGCTATAGCTCCTTGTTTCTCTTTAGAATATTAATTGCAGTTCTCACTTGAAATGTTTCATTTGTTTTTTGTAGGCCGATTGTTCCATTATGGATGGAGGGGATGATGGTAATCTTGTTATCAAAAAGAGGTTTGTGTCCGAGGCAGAACTAGATGAACGGCGTAAAAGGAGGCAAGAAGAATGGGAGAAAGTTCGAAAGCCTGAAGATCCAGAAGGTATATGTATGGGGTTATAGTTTGGCATTCAACATAATGATCTCTAATCTTCCCAATAGTCCTGCAGAGTAGGTACTAATGTCCTCACTTTGGAGCCAGGGACTGAGGCTCAGAGGAGTGTAAGAACCTGTGTAAGGACTTCGTAGCCAGGAGCAGAACCAGAGTACTCATTGTCCACTCTCCACTGTCTTACCTTCCAGAACATTCTGCCAGTTTGTTCCATCTATATAGGTGGATGCAGGATCTGAGTGACTGAGAATGTAGCTGCTGTGTAGGGTTGGGCTTGCCCCTCAATCCAGTTAACTGTCTCAGGCCATGGGCCCTATTGACATTTGTAGTTGCCTTTGAGAACTGCTGGCCCCTCTCTGAGATCCAAAGCAAAACTGTGGACTTTGTACTATTTTTGTGTTATCCTTGCCCTCAGATCATGCAGAGACTTGACTTTATCTTTGAAATCCTTTGTGATTCCAAAATAATGTGAAAAATTCTAAAGTATGTGCCTTTTCTTCCCCCTTCCTTTTTCTCCCTCCCTCTTCCTTTCAGAATGTCCAGAGGAGGTTTATGACCCTCGGTCTCTATATGAAAGGCTACAGGAACAGAAAGACAGGAAGCAGCAGGAGTATGAGGAGCAGTTCAAATTCAGTAAGCTTCAGAAAACAGTCTGACATACCCTGCAGGGCCTTTTCGATGCACTTTGCCTCATGCAACACTTTTTCCAATTGGCCATGGAACTGTCTTATCTAGTCCCTAGATGTTCATTTGGTGGGAAAGAGACAACCTTCTGCCTTCTAGAGCACAATGAACATTTTTGTTTAGAGCTCAAGATACCCATTTTAATTCTGTGCTAGTGTCTGGTAATGAGAGAAATGCCTTGATTTTATGCTGTTACCTCTCCAAAAGCCGAGGTGTTTACAAATTCTTCTAATCCTCTAAAGGATCTGCTGCTTATTAAGAAAAAAAGAAGGAAAAATCTTATTTGACTCTCTTTTCCCTTTAGCCTGCTAAGTATTCCTTGTTCAATTATTTCCTCAGAAAATATGGTAAGAGGCTTAGACGAAGATGAGACGAACTTCCTTGATGAGGTTTCTCGGCAGCAGGAACTCCTGGAAAAGCAACGAAGAGAAGAAGAACTGAAAGAATTAAAGGAATATAGAATATCCTTTGTACTTTGAGAGAAATCTGTATGATGTCCATTTTCTTGTCTATGTCTATGGATTTGAGTTTCTTCACAAATCGAAAGAAAATAAGATTTCCTACCTAGTGACCTTTGAGTTCCCTTTCAACATTGGTACTCCCATGCCTGAATAACTGGCAGTGATTTGTGCGGTTACATGGCATGTGCAATTGAAAGTCCAGATTCTTTAGGATTAACTAAAGGCCTAAATCCTAATAGTCAGTACCAGGGTATTTTTGCCTCGTGGGATTAGCCTCTAAAACAGATGGGCAATGCAGTAAACTCATCCAGGGGAGAAATTGGCTTCTGAGTTTTAAAAGGAAATGTTTAGCAACTCTCCTGTGTCCTTACTAAGACCTTCCCTAGAGGTGTAGCCTGGTCTGTCACCACAGAAGGGTAGAGAAGACAGCAAAGATGACTTCACTTTGGCTCAGTGTTGCCTTTTTGTCTTCCACTTGCATGTCTGAATCCCACCTAAAACTTGGCTGAGTTGGAATTCTCAGTTCTATGTGCCACATCCCTACCCTCAACTCATCACACTGCCCTTGCCCCCAAATGTCTTTTTTTTCTGCTCTTTTTGATTTCAGTAACTTGCACCCAGGTGTCCAAACCAAAAACTACCTCCAAAAAGAATGTTCTCCAGGTCTGTGTAGTTCAGCTTTCTCTGGCTTTTGGGACCACTGTGACCATGATATTGATCTCTGCTTCTGCTCGCATCTACCACAATGTATTCTCAAGACAAGAGTCAAAAGGAACATTTGAAAACATACCTGGAATCCTGTCACTTTCCTATTTAAGACACTAGTGGCTTCCTGTGGCATTTAGACTTAAGTGTATATTCTTAACAGGCCCTACATGATATAGGCCAACCCACCTTCCTGTTGCATCTTGAACTCCTTCATGTTTACTATACTCCAGCCTACTGGCCTTCTTCCTGTTCTTCTCATACTGAGCTTTGTGATTTCATTTCAAGGCCTCTGTTTTGTTTTTTGGCCTGGAGTGCTCTGCCTCCAGATTTTACAAGGCTGGCGTTTTATAGCACTTGGGTGTCAGCCCACATCTCCCTTCCTCATAGAGACCTTCCCTAAGCATCTCATCTAAAATTTCACCAAACTATGTCACTACGTATGATGTCACTTTTTAATAGTAACTTTCATTTACTTTCTTAATTTAATTTGCTTACTGGTTTCTTTGCCTCTTTACTGCTGGAATGTAAGGTAAGATGCATAAAAATAGGGACTTGGTCACCACTGATTTCCCTAGTGCCTGACATTGTAGGTTCTCAGTATATATGTGAACAAACTCCTAGGAGAGGTTAATGAAGCCACTCTAGCTTTTTTCCTGGCTTATTTGAGTATTTCAGGCTTATATGTTGAATAACCTCACTAATGTGATTGAACAAGCTTTTCCTCTCAATTGGTGATGCGACTGCATGTATATGCCAGTTGGTTTTGTTTGTTTTTACAGGGAGCATGCAGTAAGTTTCTTTAAAGAGCTATGTAGGAGAAGATTTGGACTGATCCCCAGGGATTTGGTTTAAATTAAGGTGACTGACAACAGTTGAGATAAGGGAGCAGCATGGTGCTACAAAACCTGCTCTGAACTGGTAGCAAAAGATGTGGCTTCCAGACCCAGTTTTCCTAGTGGAATTCTGGTATAGCATTTATGATTGGAATTGATGGAAAATCACACCTCAATCCCAACTGTAGGGTTGAGGCTGACTCTTCTGGAGCTCCCTTCCGCCACTGCCCTCCCTGGTGACTCCAGAATAACAGCGTGCATTGATGTTTGTAGAGATGGGCAGATATATGTATTGCATTGTCAGGCACCGGACTTTTTCCTCCCAGGAAATATGTTAATTACACTGATCCCTAGGATTATGTCTTGTTTTATGTGCTTAGTTTGGCAGGCTAGCAAATAAGATGTAGAGTGTCTCCCAAAGCAGCATTCTGGGGAGTAGTGTTGGTTTGGTATGAATGTGGTTTTCAGTTCAAAGAAAAGAATGAACAGGGCAGCAGTAAGGCGAAAGAAACTTTCCTGCCCTGCTAACATTACAGTACAACACTGGAGAGGCCCCAGGGGTATTGGCTTTTGTTGGAAATTTGGTAAGTTCCTGCCATCTAGAAAACCTGAAGAAAAGCAAGCCTTCCAACCCAATGATACATAATGCACTAATCCTGGCATGCAAGTAGCCAGAGACGTGTTGAGATAGGAACTGAAGGATTAGAGGTTTGTTTATTGAAGCTCTAAATCAGGAGCTGGTTCTTGGCTCTGCTTGATCATTATAATATGATACATTTTATAATGTGATACTTGTGAAGGCAGATAAGCTGTGATTTGTGCCCATATGAACAATAGAACTCTTGTTTTCTTCAGATTAAACCAGCATTTAGCAATATTATATGTTAAAACTATGTAATTTAAAAAATGTCTCATCTGATGAATTCCTTGAAATTTCTGAGATGTGTTTGCTTTTTTAAAGCATTTAAGGGGGAGAGGAACCTAAGGGGGAAAAAGTGGCTTATATTTTGGCTGTGGATCAAAAGTAATATTTTACCCCCCTCCCCAAAAAAGAAAATGCTGGAGGCTTTTTTTCCACTTTAAAAGAATAAAAAATGAAGTGTTGGTTTCTGTTTGTGTCCTACTATTATAAAAAACATGCATCTTTTTTTTTCCATTTTTGGGAAAAAATATTTGTCAATATTAAGAATTCTAAGAACTTACCCTTTAATGATGGAGTTGCAGGTAAAAATCAGCATGCTTGTGGTTTCTGGCTTTCGGTACTGGAAAGATGAAACCTGATTCTTTTCGTTTTTTTTCCTAGAAAACCAAACATGTAATGTTAACATATTATCAGTTTCCATGTTGACTCTGAAACCATTAAATTGATGAAATTCAGAATAGTACTGAGCATTTTGCATAAACCCCATTGAATACTGCAAATATTTAAGGTAACTGCTGCTTATATGACCAAGACTTAGTGCCTGAAGAGTGATCAGAATTAGAATTTCCTTATTTCTGGTGCCCAGTTTTCCCCATTGTTCAAAGACCATATACCCCTCTTGCCCAGCCCTTTGGGCTGATAATACCTGCTTCTTAGATTTCTTGGTCACTAGATGTCACTATTTTTCCAGTAAGGCACTGCTGCCTCTTGAATAAAGAATTGCACCACATCCAACACTTCTGTCTGTTGCCTAATGGGTTGTGAGAGTATGAAATGGAGGGAGGGGAGGGGCTGGTGGAGAGAACAAAAGAAAGTGACAGACTTTAACAGCCAGAGATTGATGTCAGGTCTGCAAGAAGTGATCTTACAAGTGAACTGATTGTGCTTTAATTTTTTAGAGAGATATTTATTTATTTTAGAGACAGAGCATGAGTGGGAGGGGCAGAGGCAGAGGGAGGGAGAATCTCAAGCAGGCTCCTTGCAGAGCAGGTGTGGAGCCCAGTGTGGGGCTCCATCTAGAGACCCCAAAGTCTTGACCTGAGCTAAAACCAAGAGTCAGATGCTTAACTGATTGTGCCACCAAGGCCTCCTGTTTGTGTTTTGGTTCTTGTGATGCACTGGGTTTTCTCATTAAAATCACCTTGAAGATGGTGTTGAAAACAGTTTCCTAGGCCTCTGGAGGTCCTCATTTCAATAGGTTTGGGACAGGGGATGGACTCTCATTTATAATGAGCCTTACGGTGCTTCTGGTGTTGTCTTATACCAGCAGAGGAGTTAGTCTTTGTGATGTCCAAGATTGAATGCCACTGATACTTGATATATCATAGGACATTCTGCAAGACTTGATTTTACCCTTGGGCGAAAAAAGCAAATATTTAAATATTTTCAGAGAAGCCACATTTTCCCATGGCATTTCTGTTTCTTAAGATCTTTGTTTTCTCCAGCAAGCTGTGGCCCTATCCTTGGGAAGGTTATCCTGACCATAATTCAAGATTTTCACAGAGAATCAAAGGAATAAAGTTTGCTTCTCTGTATTATATTTGGTTTGATTTGCCTTCTTCCTCTGTGGTTACCTTCATTTCTCTTCAAATCAGCTGGGATATGACTGGCAGAAAAAAGAAGAGGGCATTGTTTTTAATATAAATAAGCTAAACATTACTCGGCAGAGCTGAAGTACTAATGGATTATATATGTCTGTCTTCTCTTGATTTATCATTGTCCTGCTATAGCTCTTCTTTTTACCTAGTCTGACCCTTAACCTACAACACAGTAATCTCAACAAAGTTGGAATTTCTCCGGAAAATAAGAAGGAGGTGGAGAAGAAAGTGACTGTGAAACCCATAGAAACCAAGAACAAGTTCTCCCAGGCAAAGCTGTTGGCAGGAGCCGTGAAACATAAGAGGTCAGCCAGCTCTCACACAACTTGGATGTCCCTCTGACTCTGTACTCTAAAATGCCACCGGTAATGGTAGCCTGAGCAAACAGTTGCCTAAGCATCAGTCTTGGTGACGTTTCTTTGGTAGTCCTACCTCTCTCTCCCCTTCTAGATTTGGTGTCTCTAGCCTTTGAGCCCTGTCTCTTTGATTTTTCGTTCAACATAATACTAACTACTCTTCATCAGGCACCGGTCATGTAGCAGGCATTGTGTTACGTGCTTTCCAGGAATGATCTTACTCTTCCCACAAGTCTATAAAGTACAAATTTGATTGGCTAAGAACCTTTGTCCCAGATCACAAAGTAATAGGAGAGGTGGAGGTCAATATTTGAGCATCTCTTTCTAGGCAAACGAGGTAGCAAGTTGTGTGAAAGGATTTGGGTAGGGTGTCATGGGAGCAGGGAGGAGGAAACCCGTAATTCCCTGGAGAGGGCCTCTGAGCTCAGCTTGGGGAAGATAGGGAAGGCGTTAGAGTGAGATCTTGACCAGGTAGATGACTAGGGCTTTGACAGACAAGGGGGAAGAGAACATCCCTGGCAGAGAGAACAGTTGCTGCAAAGACCCACAAGACCATGGAAGCTATGACAGCTGCACAGACTTGACTGGGCTCCTTGCTGATTGATGTGCGGTGGCAGCAGTGCCTAGAGGTTTTGAGAAGTTCTGTTTTAGGTTTGCTCCTCGCTAAATCCTCAGATGTCACCAAAGTGATGAAATCTGGTTATTTCAGTTTGACCAACCATACCATGGACGAAATAATGTTAAGTTTGAGTGCAATCTATTAGGAAAATCAATGTGGCATATTGGCAACCAGCCACATGTTTTCAGGGGAGTGCACTGATGCACTCTTATGGTTTGGCGCACCATCCATCTGCTGCAGATGATCCGGAGAACATTGCTTACAGATTAAAATGTCGTCATGGTTTAGCAGTGGAGGGGAGGAGTAGCAGTAACCTGAAAAGGGCTATCTGAGCCATGAATTATTCCTTTGAAGTTTTTTTAGGGGGGGGGTGGAGGTGGAGCAGAGGGAGAGGCAGAGAGAGAGAGAGAGAGAATGTTAAGCAGGCTCCATGCCCAGTGTGGACTCCATCTCTTAACCCTGAGATATATGACCTGAGCCGAAATCAAGTCAGATGCTTAACTGAGCCATCCAGCCTCCTCTGTTCAAGTTTTCACAGCAGCTTTCATACCTGGCCCAGTGTCTTAGAATTTGGTCCTGGGTCAGTTTTACTGGACTTCAGCAAGAAAGGGCTCTATAGGTGGGCAGTTCTCGGCAATGTCTAGCTGCTAGCAAAATGGATGTTATAACTCTTTCCTTAGTCCTTAGCTCACCTTTTATTAGATCATCATTTATTGTTTTTTTTTGTGTGTGGCAAGATGCTAAATGAGTCTCCTGGAGCAGGAGTTCTTCATCCACCCAGACCTGAGTTTATTAGAATCACTTGGGAGTTTGTTAATGTGGATTCTAGGCCTCTCACTAATTCTGGTTCATTAAGTTTGAAGTGAGGTCTTGGAGTCTAATTTTTCAAGTTGTACGGATGATTCTGGTACTTGTGAAAGAAACAGGTCTGATACCTGGCATGTGCCTAGGGCATGATCAACATGACAGCCTACCTCTGTGCTCCCTCTCCCTGCCCTGCCATCCTCGCCCCATGCTCTCAAATCTGCTTTATCATTCTTCTGCATGTCTTTTAGTAGTTTTGGGGTGTGTGTATGTGGCAGGGCGGGGAGCAGGGAGCAGTGTTGTTGGTGTTTGGTTTGGTTTTGGCTACCTATATAGGTGTCCATGAACAGTATAATAGCTTGCTTGGTTTTGAACTTTATAAAAATGATTTCATTCTGTATATAATATATGAATTTGGTTTTTTAGTCAAAATGTTCCTGTTATTGAAACAATTTTGTGTATTCATGTATATATAGCTGTAATAAGTTCATTTTCCCTGTTTTATAATGGTGCCTTATATGAGATACCAAAATGTGTCCATTCTCTTGTAGTTGCATATTTGAACTGTGACAAATGATGTCCAGAGGTCTAGGGCATGCTTTGTTACCTATGTGCAAATGTTTCTCCAGAGCTCTGCTATCTTGGCCACCTGTGGCTATCTAAGTTTAAATTAATTAGAACTAAAATTTAAAACCCAGGTCCTAGGGCACTTGGGTGGCTCAGCGGTTGTGATCCCAGGGTTCCAGGGTTGAGTTCCGCATTGGGCTCCCTATGAGGAGCCTGCTTCTCCCTCTGCCTATGTCTCTGCCTCTGTGTCGCTCATGAATAAATAAATAAAATCTTTTTTTTTTTTTTTTAAAAAAGGTAGTTGACATATTTTATATGATGATTTGCCATTCATGTGTCCTGTTATGCGGAAGGTCTCCTATATTTTGCCATTTTTCTACTGGGTTATTTGTATTTTTCTTGAGGGTTCATATGTTTGTTTTTTTTTTTAAATATGGTCCTGACTTTTCCCCCCAGAGTTTATAGTTTTTGTTTTTACTTTCATTAATTAATTTTAAGATGGTCAAATATATTTGATTTTAAGGTGGTCGGTTTTTTTTTTTTTCTTTTTAAAAATGTTCTTTAATTATTTTTAAAGATGTTATTTATTTATTCATGACAGAGAGAGAGAGAGGCAGAGACATAGGCCAGGAGAGGTGGGGAGCCCAATGTGGGACTCGATCCCAGAACTCCTGGATCATGACCTGAGTAGACACTCAACTGCTGAGCCACTCAGGCGTCCATCCCTTTGCTTTTCTTTTTTAAGTAGGCTCCATGCTGGGCATGGGTCTTGAACTTACAATGTTGGTATCAAGACCTGAACTGAGATCAGGAGTTGGATGCTTAACTGACTGAGCCACCCAGGACTCCAGAAGCTAATTTTCTAGCAACATTTGCTCCATATTTCTCTCTTTCCCCAGTGACGTTCAGTGTTACCTCTGTCTTATAATGAGTTTCCAGATACATATGGGTTTATTTGGGAGTTCCTTGTTTTCTGTTCTTTGGACCTGTTAGACCAGTATCACTCTGTGTAATTATTGTAGCTTTATAAAAAATCTTGGTATCTGTCAGGACAAGTCCCCTTATAGTTTTCTCAGGAAAGTCTTATCTATTGTTGGCCACTTTGTTCTTCCATATAAATTTTAGATTTAGATAAATTTAAATTTTAGATTTAGATTAAGTCTAAATTAAGTTTTTTGGAATCTTCCTAAATGGCTTGATAAATTTATGGAGAGAACAGATCTTTATGGATGTGAGTTTTTCTACACATGGCATATATCTACATTTATTTGTTTCTTTAATGTCATTCAATAAAGTCATAGTTTTTTTTTTCAAAAGGTTGTGCATATCTTTTGTTAGATTTATTCCTAGATGTTTTAAATTCGTTTTGTTGCTGGTTTGTATAAGTGCAATTGATTTTGGAGTAGTTACATCTAGCTACTCAGCTCTTATTAACCTTAACAATAATTCTTTAAATACTCTTATTAACTTTTATCGTTGGATTCTTTTGAAATTTCTTTTTTTTCTTTTGAAATTTCTATATAGAGTCACTATCTGTGAATAATGACAGTTTTATTCTCTTACACCTTTTCTTAATGTTAGGAACAATTACTATGTACGTCCTTGTTTTAGACAGAACATTTATAACTTTTCATCATTCTTGTTTTTGTTTTTTCAGATATCTTTTAGGTTTAAGGAAGTTATGGCCTTAGTTTTTTTTTTTTTTTTTTTTTTTTTATTTACGATTGTCACAGAGAGAGAGAGAGAGAGAGAGAGAGAGAGAGAGAGAGAGAGAGAGGCAGAGACACAGGCAGAGGGAGAAGCAGGCTCCATGCACCGGGAGCCCGACGTGGGATTCGATCCTGGGTCTCCAGGATCGCGCCCTGGGCCAAAGGCAGGCGCTAAACCACTGCGCCACCCAGGGATCCCATGGCCTTAGTTTGAGAAGAGTTTTTTTGTAGCCACAAATTGCTTAATTTTGTCAACTTTTTTCTTCCTTTGAACTGATAAAAAAAAATTTTTTTTTTACTCTGTTATGGTGAAAAATTAAGTTTAAGGATTTTTCTAATGTTATATTCCTGTTATCATACCTCACTACCAAGCTGGGGTTACTTAAAAATATTTTTTAAATTGAAGTATAATTAACATACAGCGTTTTTAGTTTCAGATTTACAGCATGATTCAACAATTCTCTGCATTGCTCAGTGCTTACTAGAAGTGTAGTTACCAAATGTTATTACAGTCTTTTCACTATATTCCCTATGCTGTGCTATAGTATAATTATTTTTAACTCTACTAGATTTGGTTTGCTAATATTTTGTATAGATTGTTACATCTATGTTCATAAGTAAGACTTGTCTGTTCCTCCCCCGCCCCCCTTGCTTTTTTCTGATTTTGATATGAAGGTTAAAAGTAGCTTTGTAGAAGGATTTAGGAAGCGTTCTTTTTCTGTTCTCTGGAAGAATTTGTGTAAGATGGTAATGTTCTATTTTGTGAAAATTTGGTAGAACTCTTTATATAAGCATTTTGATCCCTGCTTAAAATTTGTGATTATAGGTCTGTTTAAGTTTCTCCATGTTTTTTTGAGTCAGTTTTATTTAGTTATATTTTCTGGGAATTTGTCCATTTTTGTCTTGTTTCAAATGCATTCACTAACATTAGTATTTTTTTTATTTTTCTGATTGCTCTTGTATCTATAATTATCTCCTTTTTCATCCCAAATATTGATGGATTATTCTTTTATCCTTATTTTGGCTAGTTTCTTAATTTCTCCCATCTTCTTTCCTTGGGATATTCTTTACTTCCCTCAAGTTTATTCTTTTATGATTTCTGTTATAAATGAGTGTCAGATACCTAGTTAATTTTCAGCTTTTCAATTATAGGCACCTAAAACTTAAGCCTTCCTCAGCTTTTACTGTACACAATTTTGTATTGCCAACTAAATTTTTTTTTTTAAGATTTTATTTATTCACAAGAGACAGAGAGAAAAGCAGGCTCCATGCAGGAAGCCGGATATGGGACTTGATCCCAGGACCCTCAGATTGTGCCCTGGGCCGAAGACAGGCACTCAATTGCTGAGCCACCCAGGCGTCCCATCCAACTAAATATTTTTAAATAGCCATTAGGATTTCTTCTTTGGCTCATAAATTAGAAACATTTTTTAAAGTTTCCAAACATACTGAGGTAATTTAACTGTATCTCATAGGTTCTAAGGTTCTGGCCCCTTCTCCCCCCACATTTTAATGCTTTATAATAGCTGTGTCTTAAGAGTCTGTGATACATTTGTCTTTTGTTGTTGAATTCTACTTTAATTACATTGTGGTTTATATGTACTAATTTTGAAATTCCTTTAGATTCCCTTTATGACTTATTCCTGAGGTTATTTTTTTGTGAATGGTCCAAGTGAGCTTGAGGAGAATCCGTGTTTTGTAATTGTTCTGAGTTCTATGTAGGTACAACCAAACAAGCTTTTAATTGTATTGTTTAAATCTTCTGTGTCTCTACATACTTGTCTGCATGCTCTGTCAGTACTGGAGTATTTTGAAATCTCTCATTTTAGTGATGTTTTCTTGAATTTTCTTAAGAATTCTGTTGAATATATATTTGAAGCTCTTTAATTAGAAGCATACCTGTTTTTTTTATTTTATTTATGATAGTCACAGAGAGAGAGAGAGAGAGAGGCAGAGACACAGGCAGAGGGAGAAGCAGGCTCCATGCACCGGGAGCCCGATGTGGGATTCGATCCCGGGTCTCCAGGATCGCGCCCTGGGCCAAAGGCAGGTGCCAAACCACTGCGCCACCCAGGGATCCCAGAAGCATACCTGTTTAGAATTGTGATATCTTCATAGTGAATTAAACTTTTTTTCATTATAAACTAATCTACTTAGGTCTTGTAATATTTTTTGGTCTTTTTTTTTTTTTTTTTAGATTTTTATTTATTTATTCTTGAGAGACAGAGAGAGAGGCAGAGACACAGGCAGAGGGTAAAGCAGGCTCCCTGCAGGGAGCCTGATGCAGAACACAATCCCAGAACCCTGGGATCAGAACCTGAGCCAAAGGCAGACACTTAACCACTGAGCCACTATTCTTGGTCTTAAAGTCTACTCTGTAGTTAGCTCAGCGTTTTTTGGTTAGTATTTGCCTCAGTAACTCTTCTGCTTTTCTTCTCCTTTCAGTCTTCCTGGGTCTTAAGTTTTTTGTTTTTGTTTTACTTCTGTTAAATTTTTTGGCATGTCTTATAAATAGCTGAAAAAATATATATATATAATTTTTTTTTTATTGAAGTTCGATTTGCCAACATATAGTATAACACCCAGTGCTCATCCCGTCAAGTGCCCGCCTCAGTGCCTGTCACCCAGTCACCCTTGAATAGCTGATTTAAAATTTAGGATGTTAATCTCTTTTTATAGGTAGGCTTAGATTTTTTTTTAAAGGGTTTTTTATATAGTTTCTGTTATCTTAATGTTATTTGTCTTTTTAAAAATATTTTTTCTTGATGAGCACTTGGTGTTATACTCTATGTTAGCAAATTGATTTTAAATTAAAAAATTATTTTTCTTTGTATTTTTAAAAATTAAAATATTAAAATCTTTTGTTCAGTTATTTTCCTTCTACTAGTTTGGATTCATATATTCTGTTCTTGATGACTAACCTTGCAACTTGCCAGAAGTACTTAAGAAAACCTAAAGTTAAATAGGCATCTTACTTCCATACAAAATTATACATGGACCTTAGAACTTTTAGCTATAATCACCTCTTCCTTACATGCTACTATGGCTCAGGACTTTAGTATGGTCATGTTTAATACACAAATTAGATTGTATTTGCTTGTTTCTTTGTTCACTAACCCTTTTGTGATTATGGCCTTCTGAGAAAAGTTTTTTCTTTGTTGAAGTATCTTCTTTTTTTTTTTTTTAAAGATATTATTTATTTATTTATGAGAGAGAGAGAGAATGAGAGAGAGAGGCAGAGGGAGAAGCAGGCTCCCTGCAGGGAGCCCAATGTGGAACTCGATCCCGGGACTCCAGAATCACACCCTGGGCCAAAGGCAGGCGCTAAACCGCTGAGCCACCAGGGATCCCTTTTTATGTTTTTCTTGACTACCCTAAATATTAGCAGTAATGGTGGAGCTGGAGGTATTATTATTATGCCTTTTCTAAGCTACACAGCAAGCGAAGTACATTCTTAGTCTTTCAGTGAAGGTCTTTTGAGTGACTTTCAGAATTTTTTTTTTTTAAGATTTTATTTATTTATTCATGAGAGACACAGAGAGAGAGAGGCAGAAAGCAAAGACACAGGCAGAGGGAGAAGCAGGCTCCATGCAGGGAACCCGACGTGAGACTCGATCCCGGGACTCCAGAATCACGCCCTGGGCCAAAGGCAGGCTCCAAGCCGCTGAGCCATCCAGGGATCCCCAACTTTCAGAATTTCCAGCATGTCACTAAGAGGAGGAGTTCATGTTTAAGAACTTAACTGAATTTTTGTCATGTATGAATGTGTCCGTATATTCCTGAAATCCATCTGTGATCCTAACTAAGATGAATGATAAGGACAACAAAGAATCTGAAGTTTAGGTGTTGCTTGAAGATAGAATGCTTCACTCCTTGAATTGACCAGGGGTTTAAGTTGTCTTTATAACAATAATATAGTTGAAAGGAGATCAAGAACCTGAAATGAAGACTTTTTATTTCAGACTACCCCAGTTCTTTGAGGCTACCTAAGACCCATATGAATGGTTATTGGCGCTCCTGATTCCCAAAGTTTTAATCCCTGAGATTGGAAGTAGCTCAAATTACCATATTTTTTGTTAACAGTTCAGAGAGTGGCAACAGTGTGAAAAGACTGAAATCGGACCCTGACCCAGATGACAAGAGTCAAGGTAGGTGGCAGCTTCCATTTCACTATTCATAATACACATGAACCATATAGTACAGGGCTGGACTGCATTGTATCTATGAAGGAATGCATGGATCTCTAAGCAAGCCTGTTTCTACCAGGCAGGACTTATAACCAAGAGTATGTCAGCTGCCTTACCAACCAGTATGTTAGAAACCAGTGGAATTTGATAAATGACAATTGTGATCTCCCAGAAGTACTTACAAAGCCAAAGCCCTGCTCACAAAGGGTTTTTCTCTGTCTCCCCCAAATGTCAAGTTTCTTGATTTCACCTGGATGGCAACCAGTGAGAGGTAGAATGCCTGGCTCTTGCTGATGGTTGGATTGGATTGAGGCTAGAAGCCTAATATAGTCTCCAGAAGTACACTTTCTTTGGTGAATACTTGTATGCAATCAAATCTGGCACTGTGGGGATCCCTGGGTGGCTCAGTGGTTTGACGCCTGCCTTCGGCTCAGGGTGTGATCCTGGAGACCTGGGATCGAGTCCCACATCAGGCTCCCTGCATGGAGCCTGCTTCTCCCTCTGCCTGTGTCTCTGCCTCTCTCTCTCTCTCTGTGTCTCTCATGAATAAATAAATAAAATCTTAAAAAAAATCTGGCACTGTGTTAAGTGGCACAAAGTTTTAAGTGAAAGTGAGTGTTCTGAGGGCTGATTCAGGGATGAGAAATTCAAGAGTGTTTTTAGTTCTATCCCTGACTCTGTGGGATTGAGACTCTGTGCTAAACTCAATGGGTCATCTATAAAAGAGGGCTTACATTTATTTCTCTTTCAAAAAACAGTGGATATTTTAAAATAATGTATCTGGCAACTAACTGGAATTTAAATAAAAACTTTTTTTTTAAGATTTTATTTATTTATTCATGAGAGACACAGAAAGAAAAAGAGGCAGACACACAGAGGGAGAAGCAGGCTCCATGCAGGGAGCCCAATACAGGACTGGATCTCGGGTCACCAGGATCACGCCCTGGGCTGCAGGCAGGCGCTAAACCGCTGAGCCTCCCGGGCTGCCCTAAATAAAAACTTTTAAAAATGAAAAGTAATATATCTGCTGAGCATCGGTAATGGTAGCTATTGCTAATAACTTTTTGCTCTTAGAGTTTATTTTTTTAAGAGAGGGAGATGGGGTGAGAAGGGGAGAGGGAGAGAGACAATATTAAAAAGAGAAGCAGAGAGACAGGCTGGGTGTGGAGCCCATTGTAGAGGGAGCTGAACCTGAGCTGAAATCAGGAGTCAAAGGCTTAACCAAGTGAGCCATGCAGGCACCCCCTAGAATTTACTTTTAAAAAGAACATTGAGTGAAGAGTCCCCCTTCTACATATATATCCTCTTCCATCCAGTTCTCCTTTCCAGAGGGAAACAGTATTATACATTTCTTTTTTTTTTTTTTTGTATTATACATTTCTTAGGTATATATTCAGAGTTACTGTATGTATGCATAAGCAATTATATTCTTTTAAAATTAAGAAATGTTTTATTATAGGTAGCTTAAAACATAGCTGGATGTTGAGATAGGATGATGAACCCCATCATGTAGCTTCAGTAATTTTTAACACCTATCCAGTCTCATTTATGTCTATTCAGCTGTAGTGTTTTGAGGCAAATACCAGACGTTATATTGTTTTGTCAGTAATTCTTCTATATGTATCCCTAAAAATAAGGGTTCTTTGTTTTTTTTAACGTGATTACAATAACATCACACCTAAAATAATTACAGTAATTTCTAAATATTATTGGATAGCAAATTAGTATTCTTTTTCCCCAATTTTCTCATATTTTTTTTTCTTGAAAATTAAAAAAAAAAAAATCAGAATCCAAGCAAGGATCAGACATACATTGTATTTGGCCTATATGGCTTTTACAAAAATATTGATATATAATTCACATACCATAAAAAGTCATTGTTTTTAAAGGACACAATACAGTGGTTTTTAGTATGTTCACAGGAATGTGTATTCATCACCACTATTTAATTCCAAAACGTTTTTATCACCCCAGAAAGAGGCCCCATGTCCCTTAACAGTGACTGCTCATTCTTCCCTCTTCCTAGCTACTGGCAACCACTTATCTACTTTTCTCTATGGATTTGCCTTTTCTGGACATTTCATATAAATGAAATCATGCAGTATGTGGCATTTTGTTTCTAGCTTTTCACTTTACAATGATAGTGAAAATATCCATGTTATAGTATGCATCCACACTTTTTACAGCTGATTACTATTCCATTGTGTGGTATGCTGCATTTTGTTTTGTCCAGTAATCAGTTGATGGGCATTTGGGTTGTTCACAATTTTTGGCTATTCTGAATGATGCTGCTATGAACATTCATGTATAAGTTTTTATGTGAACACTATTTTCAGTTCTCTTAGGTAAATACCTAGGAATGGAATTTCTAGGTCATATGGTAACTGTGTTTTTATGGTTGACTTTTTGAGGAACTGCCGAATTGTTTTTCCAAGCAGCTGCACCATTTCTACATTCTATTAGCAGTATATGAAGGTTCCAGTTTCTTTAAATCCTTATCAACAGTTGGTATTATCTTTTTTTATTCTGTTCATCTTTGTGAGTATGAAATGTTATCTCATTTCCCTAATGACTAATGATGAGAGCACCATGTACTTATTGGTCATTTGTATATCTTCTTTGGAGAAATATTTACTCAAATCCTGAGCCTATTTTTAAGTTGGGTTACTTGTCTTTTTATTGTTGAGTTGTCAGTGTTACAAATACTGCTGGTTGTATTTTCATTTTCTTGATAGAGTCCTTTGGAGCACAAAAAATTTAAATTTTGAGGACATCTAATTTATTTTTTCTTTGGTTTGCTTGTGCTTTAGGTGTCCTATCTAAGAAACCATTGCCTAATCCATGGTCATGAAAACTTACATGTTTTCTTAGTTTTATGGTTTTAGCTCTTACATTTTGGTCTTTCATCCTTTTCTTTCTTTTTAAAGATTTTATTTATTTATTCATGAGAGACGAGAGAGAGAGAGAGAGAGAGAGAGAGAGGCAGAGACATAGGCAGAGGGAGAAACAGGCTCCATTCAGGGAGCCTGACATGGGACTCGATCCTGGGTCTCCAGGATCACGCCCTGAGCTAAAGGCGGCACTAAACTGTTGAGCCACCGGGTCTGCCCTGATCCATTTTAAAAAAATTATTTATGTATTCATGAGAGACACAGAGGCAGAGATTTGTGCAGAGGGAGAAGCAGGCTCTCTATGGGGAGCCTGATGTGAGACTTGATCCCAGGACCCTGGCATCATGATGTGAGCCAAAGGCTCAACTACTGAGCCACCCAGGTGCCCTGTGATCCATTTTGAGTTATTTTTTGTATATGATTTGAAGTAGGGATTCATTTTCATTCTGTATGTATATCCAGTTGACCCAGCAACATTTGTTGAAAAGACTATTTTTTCCAAACTGAACTTTCATGGCACTTTTGCTGAAAATCAGTTGGCCAACATGTATGGGTTTGCTTATTTATTTATTTTAAATATTTTATTCATTTATTTGAGACAGAGAATGAGAGTACACTTGAGGAGGAGGAGGGTTAGAGGGAGAGGGAGAAGCAGACTTCCTGCTGAGCAGAGAGCCTGATGTGGGGTTCAATCCCAGGATCCTGAGATCATGACCTGAGCAGAAGCCAAACGCTTAACCAACTGAAGCCACCCAGGTGCCCAAAGGGTTTATTTAAACTAGACTTCCCTTTTCTCTTCCGTTGATCTATGTTTTCTGTCCTTATGCCCTTACAACACAGTCTTCTTGATTACTATAGTCTTGTAGCAAGTTCTGAAATTGGGAAGTATGAGTCCTCCCAACTTTGTTCTCTTTCAGGGTCATTTTGGTTATTCGAGGTCTCTTGCATTTCCATATGAATTTTGGAATCAACTTGTCACTTTCAATAAAAAAGGCAGTTGGGATTTTGATGGAGATTATTTGAATCTGGTGATCAATCTGGGAATATTGCTATCATATGACATCTTTACAATGGGCTATCATGTCTCATTTGACCTATAAGAAGTTCTTCCTTTTTATTTTATATATTTTTAAAGATTTTATTGATTTTTTTCATGAGAGACACAGAGAGAGAGAGACAGAGAGAGAGAGAGAGAGAGAGGAGAGAGAGAGAGGCAGAGACATAGGCTGAAAGAGAAGCAGCCAGCTCCCTGCAGGGAGCCTTATGTGGAACTCAATTCTAGGACTCCAGGATCACAACCTGAGCCAAAGACAGTTGCTCAACCCCTGAGCCACCAAGGTTTCCTTATGTTCTATTTTTTAAAAAATTTATTTATTTTAGAGAAAGAGATTATGAGAAAGAGCTCTCATGCAAGTTAGGGTAGGGGCAGAGGGGGAGAGAAAGAATCTCAAGCAGACTCCCCATTAAGCCTAGAGCCCAATGCAGGGATCGATATCATGACCCTGAGATCATGTCCTGAGCCAGAATTAGGAGTTGAATGCTTAACTGAACCACCAGGTACCCCTATCCTATTTTTTATGATGAATATTTAGATTGTTTCCATTTTTTCTCTGTTATGGTATTTAACTTTGTGCATCATTTGTCACTTTCATGATATATTAAGTTAAATACTTCAAAGAATTACTAGGGCAGAGAGGATATACATTTGTAATTTAGATAAATATTGCCGTGGGACACCTGGGTGGCCCGGGATTGAGTCCCACATCAGGCTTCCTGCATGGAGCCTGCTTCTCTCTCTGCCTATGTCTCTGCCTCTCTCTCTGTCTCTCTCTGTTTCTCTCTCTCTCTCATGAATAAATAAAATCTTAAAAAAAAAAAGCCACTGGGACTCCTGGGTGGCTCAGCGGTTGAGCATCTGCCTTTGGCTAGGGTTGTGATCCTGGGGTCAGGCTCTTTGCAAGGAGCCTGCTTCTCCCTCTGTCTATGTGTCTGCCTCTCTCTCTGTGTCTCTCGTGAATAGATGAATAAAATCTTAAAAAAAAAAAAGATAAATATTGCAAAATTACCCTGAAAAGAAGTTATCCCAGTTTATATTCTTATAGGAGCTCCATGTCACTGATGTCTTTTTAATGTATAGAAAACTTTTAAACTGGCTGCTTAAGTAGGATTAAGTGGATATTGTGTTTGTGTACACATACATATATAAAATTTATAGAAATCTTAAATATACTTCAACTAGTTAGCCAGTAGCCCTGTATCTGGTACTCAGTTCCTTGTAGGAATTACTCGCATCAGTCAGTAGAAAGGAAAACTTGTGTGTGTGTTTTTTAAAACTATCTCAGGCAGACACCATGTTTCAGAGACACCTTTTAAAATCTTTGTCATCCCCCTCCATTCTCACAGCAGCATTCTTACAGCTGGACATGAAATATCCTCTTTTGCTGGAAGCTAAGGCCCCACAGGAAGAATATCTCCTGAAAGCTTGCTTGAGAGTCTTGTCCTTGGCAGTAGAAAGCTTTGCCCCTTTAGTCCTCCCAGAAGATACTTCTGTGACCCTAGTAGAGATTCAGACTTCCCCCACTGGAAGCTCAGACTTCAGCTCCAAGCAGAGCCAGTGAATGAATGCACAGTTGGTCCCATTGACTCTCAAGTCACGCATCTGTTTGAATCCCAAGAACATTTTCTATTAGTAATTTTCGGTATTAATTTGGTATGACAGCGTGGTCCTGCAAATGCAGAAGTTGGCAGGAAACTTCACCAAATGGGTGAGATCAGAGGGCACCATTTTGTTCTCTTTGGACAGTGTAACTATTTTTGGAATGAAATTTGTCAGAATTGCAGTCTCTTTTCTTTCTTGAAACCTAGATTATTGGGAGATTTGGTCTTTTGGCTTAAACTCTGCTGATGCCACCGTGGTCCAGATTCTTTGGTTTTGTTTCATTTCTTTCTTTCCTTTTTTTTTTTTTTTTAAGATTTATTTATTCATTTAAGGGGGGGAGAGGCAGAGGAGAGAGAAACTCTCAAGTAGACTTCCTGCTAAACGTAGAGCCCAATGCAGGGCTTGATCTCATGACCTGATTATGACCTGAGCTGGAATCTAGATTGTTCAGGAGGGTCCTTGAAATACTTAATAAAATGACATCTCATTGAACAGCTTCACATAAATTACTTTTCTGAGTGACTGATTCATACCCTTATAAGATACCAGGCTTTTTTTTTTTTTTTTAACAACCAAATATTTCTAATAGAATACTGAAAGTGTCACTATTTATGTGAAAATAATCAATGAATGTTCAAGTAATGAATGGTATACGGTTTGATGTTTTGTCCTTAGTTTTCACCACTACCACCCCTAAATTTAGCTATTTGTAATGAAATTTGGTAAAATGTCTTTAACACATTGTGAATACTGATCTGCTCTGTGCGAGGCCTCATGTTGAATGCCCAGGGGACAGAGAGGTGAAAAAAGAGCCCTTGCCCTCAAGAGGCTTACAGTTAGAGAATAAGACAAGCAGTCCTCATCATTAGACTGTCCATTCTTTTACAGCCTTCCTGGCTGTAACACAGGGATACCCTTGGGATTAGAGAATGTGACACTATTCCTCTCTAATTTAAGTAGATGATGATGCTCTTTGAACTTTTGCTTTGCTTTTCTAAAAAAGTATCTGAGGTAGTATATGCACACAATAGGAAATTCAAAACAGAAAAAAGAAATGGGGATCCCTGGGTGGCGCAGTGGTTTAGCGCCTGCCTTTGGCCCAGGGCGCGATCCTGGAGATCCAGGATCGAATCCCACGTCGGGCTTCCGGTGCATGGAGCCTGCTTCTCCCTCTGCCTGTGTCTCTGCCTCTCTCTCTCTGTGTGTGACTATCATAAATAAAAAAAAAAAAAAGAAATGGAGTAAAAAGTTAAGTCTCCTCTGTTCCCCAGCCACTCAACTGACCTCCCCAAGGCAATTGTATATATTGACTCAGTTGTTATCATGCATGTCTTTGGGCATGCCCCCTCCCCACAGACCGTAGCTTACACATACCCTTGGAGCATAGTATCTTTTCTTTCATGGAGCATAGTATCTTGGAGATCATTCCATACCAGAACACAGAGGCTTTACTCTTCTTTATGGTTGAATAGATCCCCTCTTAACCTTTTGGTTGCTGCTATCACAGTGCTACAGGGAATGTTCTCATATGTACCCTATTTAAGTTTGAAGGATGTGGCCAAACTGCCCTGCATTTCCTCAGCGACGTATGAAGATGCATGTTCTCCATACGTTACCTCCTTATAGATTGTTTATTCTCCCAAGTTTATGCTTTTTTCAAATGCTGAAATTTTTTTTTGAGATTTTATTTATTTATGAGAGACAGAGAGAAAGAGAGAGACAGAGGCAGACAGAACAGCGGGAGAAACAGGCTCCCTGCAGGGAGCCCGATGCGGGACTTGATCCCGGGACTCCAGGATCACACCCTGGGCTGAAGGCAGGTGCTAAACTGCCGAGCCACCCATGGATCCCCTCGGTGTCCCAATTTTTTTGATTCCTATTTGGTTTAACATTTTTTACTCTAACTGGCCTTTAACCTTGACCTAGTCATTTGGCTTCCCTCCACAGTAAAATGGAGGTTACCTACACATCAGGTTGTCATAGTGATTGAGGCTGGAAACATTTGGAGGCAATGAGAAAGGTGGAGTAGGGGCCTTAATTTTTCCTTTCACCATCAAGTCCCCACATTCCCTAGATTGAGACTTTTCCCATCACTGAGGTACTGCAGTGGCTCTGGGTTTCCCGGGACAGAAAGAACCCTAGCCACTTGGTCACATTCTGCACCATCTTAAAATGTTCTCTGAGAGTGGCTTCAGTTTTTGCAATGGTAAAAAGGCATGGAGCCATCTGATGTGGATGCCAGTAGTGTTGCCTGCATACGGTGGTCAGGCCTTCACTGTAAAGCGCCGGGTGAAGTGCGTGAAGTGCCTGGTGCATGGAAAGTACGCTGCCAGCTCTGGGAAAGGTGGTGAAATCACAGCCCTTCCTCCTGTCTTGCAGAAGCCCCGTCCTGCGTGTCTCTTGGCAGCACATCCCTGAGTGCCCCTTCCATCCACTGCCCGTCCGCTGCAGTCTGCATCGGCATCCTCCCAGGCTTGGGCGCCTACTCCGGGAGCAGTGACTCTGAGTCGAGCTCAGACAGTGAAGGCACTATCAACGCCACTGGCAAGATTGTCTCCTCCATCTTCCGAACCAACACCTTCCTCGAGGCCCCCTAGCTCCTGTGTCCTTCAGAGCTCCTGCCCAAGAGTAGACCGGATGGTTCGTTCTGCCTCCGGGTATTACCTCCCTCGGAACTCCTTTGCCCGCTTCCTGTGCACACCATGACGTTTTTAACCTTATCTAAAAGTGTGCCAGAATCTACCTGTGGCCCAACTTGTGTTTGGTTTCTTTCTAGATGTCCAAACCTGTCCTGCCGCCTCCTTCCTCACTGCTGCAGTGGGGGCCCGGGCTCAGGAGAAATTCCACTGAAAATGCCCTGGGAACACAGGCACCCCCTGGTGTGCCAAGTGTTTGGATTGTGTTGCTTCTTGTTTTCTTATTTTTTTTCTCTTGCCCGACAGCACAGAGAAGCAAGGGCAGTTATTGGACAGGTATCATTTAAACTTTCTATTCTAGCTGAACACACCATGTGGTTGTACTGCATTGTGGAGCATGTCAGGGGGTGGGGGGAGGAGGGGCCCAGGTGATGAACTGGTGCGCTCCCTTGGAACTAACCAATTCTTGACGTTGTGTGATTAAGTAAAGATTATAAACTACATCTGCCGGGGGTGTCACTTAACGTTTGTCACTCATTGTGAAGTTTTTCTTTATTCTTCCTTCTCCTTCTCCTCCCCGCATTCAACGCCACCTAAGACCCTAAACCTTAGGGAGACAAACATAGATCTTATTTCATCATGGCCAGAAAGCAGAAGTGCTGGTAGGGATATAGACAAGATGACCTATTTCTAGTAGCATCTGGAATCCTGAGTGCCAACCATTGGGACACATCTGCATTATCTGACTCGACTCTGCTGTGTCGAGGCCCCTCTCCATTTGGTATGTTTATAGTTGGGGCTTCTAACTGTGGGAGCCCTTTCTGGCCCAAAGGTGCTGCCCTGTCCTTTCCTCCCCCTTCTCCTCTTCCTTCCCACACAGGGCAGCTTCAAGGCTGTGAGCAGCCAAGACCTAGAGATACTGCTCCACCTCTGTCTCCTAAAGGGAGGCAGAGGCTCTCCCTTCAGGACAGAGGGAGATGAGGTATGAAGGCCTTACGGATAGAGGGAGGCATGGGCTTTAAAAACAAACAAAAAAATCTGTAGGCTTCTCTGCTTCAGGAGAATGAGTCTGTACAGTTCTCTCTTCCTCTGGGCTCCTACGTCAATTGTTTCTACTTCTTTGGGTGTGAGACAGAGAGAGACACACACAGAATGTGTTGACACTGTAATGCTGGCAGGCAGAGCAGCTACTCATTTTTAATGTGGGCAGAGAGGCCTCTGGATCTCCTCCAACCCACTGCTTTTCCCCTTCCAGTGCAGTGACACTCTGGTGCCCGGTAGCAGATGGTGGCTTCCCTTCACCCATAAGTGATGCCTTGTAAATCCTTCCTTTTTCCAGGGCCACTTATGCTAATTGTTGCTGACTGGCAGCACAGCCGTATCAACTCCATCCTAACAGTACCATTAGGTAAAACTGTGTAGGCACCTTCTGCTTCTCTGCTCCATTGTTCCTGCGATTGTGCTGTCATTCTTACAGCACTTACCAGAGCAACTTCGTATCATTTTGGAGGCAGACTGAGGAGTCAGAGTCACCATCTCTATGTGGTTTGACTTTTAAGCCATCACTATGCCTCATGGCCTCTGTTTTTTTGTTTTTTTTTGTTTTTTTTTTTTTTTTTTTATGATAGTCACAGAGAGATAGAGAGGCAGAGACACAGGCAGAGGGAGAAGCAGGCTCCATGCACTGGGAGCCTGACGTGGGATTCGATCCCGGGTCTCCAGGATCGCGCCCTGGGCCAAAGGCAGGCGCCAAACCGCTGCGCCACCCAGGGATCCCATGGCCTCTGTTTTTGTTGGGAAAAAGGTTATAGGGATTAAAACTGTACATTAACTTGAAAGCTAATCCACCCATCAGGGAACAAGATCTTGCTTTTCCCGTACTGGATCTTGCATTCCCACCTCCCTCCCCATCTACTATAACAGCTAGATTGTATTAAGGTTGAGGCTCCTCAGATGGAGATTTCTAATCTGTGGTGTCACAGGAGAGGCTGAGAGTCATTGGTGATCTTGTCATCATGTTCATTGTTCCTGGTGGTGTAGAGATATGGAGAGGAATGGAGATGGTGTAGAGGTATGGAGAGGAATGGAGACACACGTCCCGTAGAACCGTGACTAGCAGGGCAGGACCTGGTCTCCTTGGTAGAGGAAGCAGCCTTGAAAAGCATCTGATATAGACAGTGTGGTTCAAACCCAAAGAAGGATAGAGGAAAAACAGGGACTGCTTTAATCCATAAAGTGCAGCCCTCGGGCCTTAATAAATTAATTGGGGCTTTAGAACTAGGTAGTAAAGGCTAAAGACAAAGTGTGTATGGGGGAGTTGCTTTAAACTGTTTGCATTGTCCTGAGTGGTAGTATTCGTACAGCTCTTAAACCAGGCAGGGGAGAAAGCCTATTGCCAGTTCTTTCTGGTTATCTATCCTGTGTCCCACTATACCCTCTGAACCACTTCTACTTTTCAGCCCTGTTACCCACTTTGGTGGGGAAAAAGCATAAAATTCAAAATATCCATTTGTCATCATAAAAAGCAGGGGAGGTGATGTGACTGGACCTGGAGAAGTGACTGGCGATCTGCTTTCATATGCCTTCCCTGGTCTCAGGACCAAGGAGGAGAGACAAGCTGGCTTCAGGCTCATGGTTTTTTTTTTTTTTTTTCTATTAAGATTTTATTTATTCATGAGAGACACAGAGAGACAGAGACATAGCTGTAGGAGCCTGATGCAGGACTCAATCCCAGGACCCGGAATCACACCCTGAGCTGAAGGCAGATGCTCAACCACTGAGCCACCCAGGTGTCCCTCAGACCGGAAGTTGGTCCCCCAACTGGGGTGACCTGGGCCAGCTCTTTGCATCCTTGTTCCTTCCACTCTCCACCTTGTTCTTCCCTTCTGGCTACCTCCTTTCTACCCAAGACAAGCTGCTTTTGCCCAAGGCTTCCTTCACTGCTTCTGCTTCTCCCTGGGAACTAAGCATAGTTCCCCCTTCCCTGGATATACTGTAGTGGTTATGAGCTTAGAACCAGACCTTTACTAGCTGGGTCAGTTGGGCAAGGTCCTTAATCTCTCTAGGCCTCCATTTCATCCTTATAAATAGGAATAATGATACCAACTTTCTAGTGAGGGTGAAAGAATCTGGATTAGGTACTTGGTGTGGGATCTGGCACAGAGTGCTCAGTAACAGTAGCCATCCTCAGTAGCCCTGTTAACTGTTGGCTTTCCATTTCTGGGTAGGGTATCCAGAGCTTCCGTTAGTGGTGATTTATGATGGGTCTTCCCATCCTACTGGCATTCCTCAGTTGCAGCTAGAACATTGACACGATGAAGGGTCAGATCTGGTTGTCAGAGCTACAACCACCAGCTTCTGCTGTATGCTTCCCTCTCAGCTAAATGTTAATTGCTTAGGCACACCCAGTTCCTTGGCTCGGGTGTCCTACTCGTGGGTATATGGCTCAGCTGTTGTCTTAAGCCCCTTCCAGAAAAACAAAAAGGAGAGCTCAGTGGCAATGCACCATCATTTGGACCTGAGTCTTGTCTTAATTTTCTGGCGTGCCCAGCCTACTTACGCATAACAGTATGGAATGTAAGTTCTGCTTGGTGGGAGGCTAGAATCTTGGCAACATCCTTGTAGTCACAGGGTGAACACAAGCCAGCTGCACATTCATGCCTTAAAGTGATGCTGGCAAGGGCTGGCATTTTGCTCCCTTACCTGTTGGAGCAATGGTTTAGGGAGAATGGGAGTGTCATAGCAGTGACAGGCAGGACGTGGCCCAGCCTCAGAGCTTCACAGAGAAGGGCAGCAAAACCCAGAGACAGCCATCACCTTGAGCTATTGGCTGGGCCTCACCCTTACTATTTCAGTAATAAGCACATCATTGTGCCTTATGTGGATTTGTTGCATTCACTCATTCGGTACCGAGGGCCTGCTGTGTGTGTGCCTGGCACTGTTCGGGACATTTGTGGATTATTTTTGCAGACTGTGTGTCTTTCATCCTAAAAAAAAAAAAAAAGTCCTGTGAAGCAGCCCTTCTCTACATTTTATAGAGAAAATTGAAATTCATAGTGGTTCAGTGACTTGCCTGAGGTTGCACAGGTAGTTGACAGAACCAGAATTTTAATTAGAGCCTTTCAGTCTGGCTTTCTATGGTTTTAGTAAAACTTTTAAACAAATGCTATTGCCCAGGCCTTGGCAGTAGTGATGCAAAGGTGAAAGGATCTTTTCGATTTCCATGTTCACTTTTCAGCTTGCTATACCCATGTGCCAAGAATCAGCATCACCAAGGCTCCATTTGTTTTTATTGAGTTTTATTTTTTTAAAGGTTTTATTTATTTGACAGCACAAGCAGGGGAAGTGGCAGGGCGATTGAGAGGGAGAGGCAGGGAGTCTGATGCGGGGCTCCATCCCAGGACCCATCCCAAGACCCTGGGATCATGACCTGAGCCAAATGCAGACTCTTAACCAACTAAGCCATTCAGACACCCTTACTGAGATATTGACATTAGTTTCCGGTATATAGTTTATTCAGTATTTGTATGTGTTGCAAAATTGTTCATCCATTTTTCTTGTGATGAGACTTTTAAGATCTATGCTTTTGGCAGCTTTCCTGATATACAGTATAGTATTATTATTAACTATAGTTACCATGCTGTACATTACATGCCAGGACTTATTTTGTTTTTCTTAAGTGGTGATTGGACCTGGTCAGGAGTTTGGGTGCATTCCTTTCCCCTGTGAACTTGAGTCCATTGGGAGAGGGCTTGCTTGACTGATCCACCCAACCTGAGCAGAGAAGGGAGAAGAAACCAGAGATGTTGGGGTCTCCTCCCATAGAGCCTAGAGGTGAGGGCCATGGCCACCACACTTGAAGTAGGTGGTCCATAAGAGTTTGAGCATTTGGGATGGACCCCAGCATAAGGCAGGGACTCGACCATAACATGGCCCCATATGTCCATCTTCCCCAGTTTTACTGGTCTGGCAAATTCCTCCCACGGAGAGGTGTAAGGGAGAGGTCTGCATGAGAAGTGGTCCCCCACAGTCTACCTATCCTGTGAGGGCTAAGGAAGGGATGTAGGGTTGGGACGAGATGGCTGCTCCCCTTTAGAGATCTCTGGTCAATCACAGCTTGACAGATTAGGGGGTATAGCTCAGGAGTAGAGCATTTGACTGCATAACTTGACAGATTATTCCAGGATGGGTGGGGATGAGACATCCAGCTAGACTCACTTGAGCTGCTGAACAGCAAATAAGCAGACTTGTGCTATTGTTTTGACTAACACCCAATCTTACAGGTGGCCGAAGCAAGGTTTAAGCAGAAACTGAAGGAGCCAGATGCACTTGTCCTGGGATTCCATCCAGGTTGCCATCTGGCCCCTGGGCCATTATGTGGTGATCCCCAAAGGTCCTTGGGGAAACGGGGCTCCACGCAGTCCTACAGCCCTCTCCAAAGTGAAGGTACCCCTAAAGAATATTTCAATTGACTTCTGGTGTCCACAGAACCAGCAGGAACATC